AGTGCATTGAGTCATAGGATTAGCCTAGTTTATTCAAATCTTCATGAGAAAATGTGCATCTTTACGATAATATGTCTCTTCATCATCAGACATTTGGAGACATCAGAAGAGAGTCAGGCTGACAGTATTATGTGACTTCTCTAAGATTGATGCTGACTTGTAATGATGTTATCGTTGCTAGAAATGAAAATGAACACACAGCGACCTAATTGCTCAGAGGGTGTGTCAAACGGGTCATCGTCACCTTTTTAAAATACTATCCTCCTGAATTTCAACATCCTGATGACTGTCTGCTACCTAAGTGTGTGTGCTCTGAAAAAATGCCACATTCTGATGATCACTCTTGTTAAATGTAAAAGCACATAGTTTTGCTCATGCTGGCGTAACATGTCGTAAATCCATAGAAGCCGCGGGCGCTTTACACTCATTAACAGGTCAGCTGACAGCTCAGGGACACCGTTGCACGTTTGTTCCTTGTGTAATGAATCTTGGGTATATCCGTGATGGCCTGGAGATCAACAAGCACTTGCGCTGTTCATCCGAGAGGTTTTTTACACCAAAAGAAAGGATGAAGGATGCGAATTCACCAAGCCTTTAAGATCATTACAAATACGACATGGATCTAATAAACGTGGGTAAGACGTGTATGTGGACTACGATGATGACACACTCTAAATAATGCTGGGTTGTTTGAACCCAAATGTGGGTCAAATATGGACAAATGCAAATGTTGGGTCAAAAAATGCAATTAAAAAATTAGTTGATGATTGATGTACATTTTTAACCCAACATTTGGGTTTGTGACCCAATTTTGGATTAAAACAACCCAGAGGAGAATATGGATGCAGTCATGGCTAGGGATACAGTAAGAGGCCAACTTGACACGCCAGTTTTGCAAATGGAGCTTGAGGAAAGTAGTTTTGGCGCCGTGTCGCGTTGATTAATATGCCGTTTCATGTTGCACTTTTATTGGCTAGTCAGTAAACGTAGGTCGCAGAAGCAAACACCTCTGACACTGTCAGAAAATCATCACGGGCTATCCAACCTCTCAGTGGACCGCCGTTTAGGAGCCACGCCACGATTGGTCATCTTTTTTCGAGTTAAAACACTGCGATCGTATGAAATATTGGCCACTGATTCTTCTCCCCTCAGCCTTGGGGCAGAGGCAGGGCTTTCATTTATGGCGATGGATTGATTTTTGCTGATTGATTTACTGCAAATGATTTATAGTTTGCTGAATTTGCGGTGGAGGTGTCGTAACTCCGATAAATCGAGCATCACCACACACATTAGAACAATAGCAGTGACCTTAATCGACCAATCAATGCAAGTTTGAATACTATTCAAATTATACACTCCACCTCCCCTTGGCTGTTCGTATCGTATGCATACTCGTATTTTGGCCAATAAAGTAAGTTAGCATTGCACTCTTAATAGATTTGATTAATCTTAAAGGGATAGTTCACTTTGAAATTAATTAATTTTTGGTATGTTTTATCTTACCTCAAGTTCATCTGAGATGTAGGTGTCTTTGTTTTTGCAGTAGTTTCAATTTTGATATTCTTAGGTCAAACCGTTGGTGTCTGTCAGTCATATAATGGAGGTCTATGGTCACCACCTTGAAGAGCATGCACAGAGAAGTCCAAATTAAACATGATTTAATGACTCGTAAATGTAAGTACACATTGATGGCCTAAGACACGAAACGAGCGGTTTGTGTGAGAAAACGAACAGTATTTATATCTTTTTTAGCTCTTGTAACCACAGCCACGTCCAAGTGATCCCTGGGCGCTTTGTGGTAACAAGAGGTAAAAACTATACAAATACTGTTCGTTTTCTCACACAAACCGCTCGTTTCGTGTCTTAGGCCATCAATGTGTACTTACATTTACGAGTCATTAAATCATGTTTAATTTGGACTTCTCTGTGCTGCTCTTTGAGGTGGTGACCATAGACCTCCATTATATGACTGACAGACTAAAACGGTTTGACCTAAAAATATCAAAATTGAAACTACTGTGGAAATGAAGACATGGATGCCCTTGAGGGAAGATAAAACATACCAAAAATTAATTTCAAAATGAACTATCCCTTAAAGTCCACTAAAATGATATCTCTAGATCTGGCTATAACTGAATGTTAATTCTGCCTTGTGAGTGTGGTGGAAAGCATGTACAGTAGGCCGGTTGTAAATGTGATTTGGCTTCCAACCGGACAAATGCTGATCATGAGCAACATGATCTCAACCACTTGTATAACACACACAAGTTAATTTAATATAATCACCCGGCTGACCTCCAGCTGCCTGCTGTATTTCTGTATTGCCCACTATGTCCTGAGGCGAGATGAAGCTGGAGGTCAAGGAATCCTGGCGATTGTGTTCAGGAAGATTTTACTGCTCCTGTCCTGGGGGACATTACTAATCGTGCCTTATTTTAAGCAGGTTATGTGCTGTGCTAAGGGAAACAGCAGTGAATCTGGAGTTGTGCCGCTTAGTCGTTTGTCTCTTTGAGCTGAGAGATGAATACATGCAGATTTTGCAGTTCAAGGCCACAGCGTGCCAAACCGTCCTTCATAGCATATTAGCGGCCTGTTCGTTCAGAAACCTTCAAAGCTGTGAGAAGGACATAAACCCTGCAGTAATGCTGAAGAGATGAACACTCGCAGAATGATCTGTAATCAGCGTTCACAGAGAAGGTGACAGGAATGATCCCGGCTTCATTATTTCTCTCATCTAAAAGCTTTCAGATCGCACTGGCCCGAGCAATTAACTAAAGAGGACTTTTCACAATCTATGAATGAGAGATGGATGGATGTGTGGGTTATGAAGACTGCAGCTTGAGGTTATGAGGTTTTGATAAGGATTATGTGTGTATATATATAAGCGGTGTGTAGCGCAGTCACTCCTACTAGCCACTGAGGCAGCTTGAATTTATATAATATGTAAAGTTTTCAATTGTAGTCTTTTAAAAAAGGCATCTGAAATACTAAAGTAAGTGCAATGCAGTGTTGTCAAGACTGATATATCTGAAACGCTTCCAATACTAATTTTCCTCAGAGTAGATACACAACAGCTGCTCTTTCTCTCTGTCATCTCTCCGACAGCAAATGTGAATTTATGCATGGGATTGTGTGTATTGCACACATTACAAATTTGATCAGATTTTGTGCTCATAGCCACCTCTCAGTACAACATTGAGTTCTTTTATCTGTTAAAACGGTCAAATACACACAAAATAATGTCAAAATACCGGCGAGTATTCACGTAAACACAGTCGGTTATGTTTTAAGTGAAAGAAAATGCATGTGAAACAGTATATTGGATCTGTGCGCCTGGTCTTAAAGTGACAGCAGCCTAATTATAAGATAATATTAAAATGATCTATATGGCAGTTTTTTCACAATGGCTGGTGAGCAAAAAAGTTAATGTCAAGCCCTGATTATAATGTATTTTTTTAAATTTGTGTGCTTTTTTTTCTCGGTATAATTAAAGTTAATTGGGTGTAGTGCTGCTTTGGGCCGCATTGACTTAAATTGTACATTGGTGAAAAATGTGTAGCTTGACCCCAGACATCTCTCATGAAATGAGTCATAGCATTAAGTCATAACACACGCAGTGTTAGGAAAGTTCAGTTCACAAATTTTAAAATGAATCAGTTTTGTTCATACTTCACAATTGTTCACAGTTCCAAAAAAATGCAGAAGAAAGTACTTGAATTTGTGTGAACTGTCTCTTTAACACTAGAACGGCCACAACAGTCATTTTGACCGTTTTGAATTTTACATCTACAATAACTTTGTTGAAAAAAAAATAATAAAATCCTACCTGACTTTTCCTAAAATTGTCTGTATTTTCATTTAAAATGCTTTTCATATAAATTAAGTTACGTAAACGTAAGGCAAAACAAAAAAAAATGAACATAATTACCAATTTTGGCCATAGACGGTCACATTGACCGCACTGAATTTTGCGATATTTTTTTTGTTGAAAATCCCGCGGTTGATCGTGGTCTCTCTCAACTGTCAACAGAAAGGTCCGTCCGGTCACCTCTGTAGCGGTGTTCGCTATATAATAATTTCTACATTAGTTGTTGATCAGAAATAAGCAAATAAAACCGAGTTATCTGTAATACTTACATTATAGGCTATATATATATATTTTGGAATTCTGGCACTTCTAGTGTTAAATCATGTGCTTGTGCTGGCTCCCATCGACAAGAACGCGAGTAGTCACACGGGCGACCACTGACGATGGAATCACGTGAGACGGATGTTAGTTACACTCTTAGAAGAAATAGTTCTATTTAGAACCAAAAATGGTTCCATCCCCCGCTTCATATATGGAACTCCAAAATGGTTCTATATAGAACCATTTTTTTTGGTGAAAGGTTCTTTTGGCCTCAGGGTTCTATATAGAACCCAGAGGAACCATTTTTTAAGCATGTATAGAACCTTTTTTGGGGTTCCAAATACGTAGCCCGCCCTGACAGAACCTTTTAAGGAACCTTTTCTTCTAAGAGTGTAGGTTTAAACATGCCCTTTATGGCAGTTTTTGAAGCTAATATCTTCCCCCTTCTGTGGATGTCATAGGGCTGATTCTGCTACGACTGGTTTCACGGAGAGATGTCCGAGGTCAAGCTCAGTGGAGCAGATTTTACGCGGCCGTGTGTGTGTTTTTAAGCACAGATCTCCAGGAAGGTAATAAAGTCCTGTCACTTTTGTAGCAGCCCACCCGTCACTGGCCTCAGACTGCTGAATCACTTAAGACTTACTTAAGGGGTTAAAACGAGCTGAGCTGTTGCCAGGCAACAAGGGACACCTCAGCAGCCGCTAGATGTGGGGTGTAGCGATCCGCCCCTCGCGCGGCAGCACGTTGAAAGATTCACACCGCATGCCCCTGCTCTCAAAGCACTCCAACGCTTCATGCAGCGAGGCATGCTGGGATATGTTATTATTATTATGGACTGCTGTTTGTATGCACTCCTGCCACATGATGTAGGCGCGAGGGGAAAGTGTTGGATTTTTGTGTCCTTCTCCATGTGAGATGTTCACATCACACACTCCGCATCCCAATCAGCCGCGAGCCGTTGATTAGTCAAGTTTGTTTGTGCGCATCTTTCAGTAGTTTTGAGAGATGTCCTTGGACAGACGTCCTTTTGTTCTAGCGGACCGCTCGGGGCTTATGGAGGCAGCGCCTGCTTTCATCCTGGCATTAACACAGAGCTTCGACCTTGACCTGACTGATATGACCCGAAAGCTTTTAAGTAACTCTCTAAAACAGGATTCAGTCATGTGACACCGTGTTGAAGGGCTTATGTGGCGCACTCACACTTGACTACAGGTTTGGGTGAGTTTCTCATTCATATTGTGAACTCACAGCTTCACCGCTGTGCATGATGAATATTGATTCGCTGATTGATTTTGCATAACACAAAAATGAATAATTATGGCGGAGTCTTTGCCTAGTTTCAATCTGGTCTGGTGGAAAGAAATATTGCCACATGCTTCTTCATAAGCTATGATTGGGCAATATAAATGTGTAATGTGTATGCTGATGTTTATGTATTTTCTCTAATGGCTAAAAACTGTAATAGAAACAATCTATTCATTGATAAGCAGAGGAATTATTTCAACAAAATTATAAGTATTATTATAAAATTATAAGTAAATGATTTAAGTGAAATTACTGAACTTAAATATACAAGCTTGATAAAAATGATCATTCTAGACGAAAATTTTAAATGGCACTTAGAGGCGTTTGCATCTGAACTCTTCATATATATATATTTATATATAAACACACATTAATAATACAATAAAAACGGCGATATTTTAGTACTTTTTAAGTAGAGCCCGACCGAGAAAGGATTTTGAAGGCCGATACCGATACAAATATTTTTGGGTTTTAAAATCCGATATATCGGCCGATATTTTATTTATTTATTTATTTGAAACTGGACATGATAGTCACAAATTGTCCTGCTTATTTGAGTTGAGAGAACTGATGGGGATGATCTTTTAATTGTTATTCAAGCAATGTATGTCTCGTGACCAACTCAACGAGTGTAGAGTGCCCTCTGGTGGACAAACTATACAACTCCAACACTCGTGACATGATTCAAGCGTGTTTCGTCCGTTTTTATTATATTTTTGAAATATTCATTTATCGGCCATTATAACTGCCGATAACAATAGTTTGGAAAATGCCTAATATCGGCCGATAATATCGGTCTGCCGATATATCGGTCTTAATTTTGAAGTATTGTAAAACAGTGAAATTCCTTTTTTTTGGAGTACATTTATTGCAATGGCATGAAAGATTCTCAGAATTGAATTGAACTGTCAGCATTATCTACTGTCGCTGGTATAAAGTTCGGTTCTCCCAGCGCACTGCGACCAGCAAACCTTTTCACAAAGCCACTGTGGTGGTATTTTTCACTAGTCTAGGTCAAAACAAAATGTGCCCTTGAGCTGAAGCCAGATTGGAGTATTTGAGTGAGCTAGCGCTGTACATCTGTGGCCGTGTAGAAACTGGTTCACCTGTGGCCGCTGACCTGTGCTAGATGTTTACATGTGCTGTCGCTCTGCTTGTGTAAGTGTGTTTACATGTCTGATTCGGCACAGAGGCCAGACGGCTCAAATAGAGCAGATCTTTTCTTTAAGCCAGCAGTCTCTCCATCCAGGGCTGCCCTCGCCGGTTATATTAAGGCAGGGCTTGCTCTAAATACACTTAAACGGGTTTAAAAAGGTCAATGATCTGTTTGATTCAGCGCTTTGTTGTTGCCACTCAGATTTGTTTATGTGAAGTGTTCGATTTTATGCTTAAACACTTTATGATTGGTGTAAGCTTCACGGAAAAAAATGTGGAGTAGGATTTACTTGAAAAAAGCTAGGCAACTTTTTCCACTCAGAAAATGCTAGTAAATTTACAAAGATTTGCCAAGTAAAAACTGAAACATATTTATCAGTAGCTTTAATTAGAAATCTTAAGTTAAAATTTACTTGGAATATGGAATTAAGTAAACTTTACTTTAGTTAAGTGAAAGTAACAAAGAATATAAGTAACTTGGCTAGTAAAAAAAGGTTGATTAATATCGATTTAGTTGTAATTTCCTTTGCATTACATTTCACTCAAACAATTTTATTGAATTATCCCAGTCATTTATAGTACGAGTTTTACTTGGCCTATCTAAGTAATTTATACTTCATCATGTCAGATGTTAAGCATGATGTGAATGCAAAGACCTCAATACTTGGTAGACAATACACAATGACGGTAACATTTGATGGATCGTTTTTGTGTTTGAATGTGTCATTTTGAGCAGAAAATGTCACAAAATGGCAAGTTACTAATCCTGACAACAAAAGCAATGATAAAACAGTGTAAATAAATACAGCTGGAAACCAGTGAAAAATGAACCTCATTAATTATTCAAGGTCCAGTGCATGATGGGAACCCCAGTATCAGAAAAGTTTACTTTATTTTATTGAGTTCATATTTATGCTTTCATTTCTACTCGCTTGAACTAAGTACTGATATGGAATTTACTTCGTTTTTTTTAATTATTGCCTGAACTAACTTTTTAGTAAATTACATTGGGTTTTTTTCAGTAGTATTTACCTTGCCAAAAAATATTTTTTTTCAGTGTTTCCAGAGTGTGTAAAATAGTGATTGACTGAGATTTGACTGAACTATTTAAAGTTGTTTTTTTTTTTTTTTTTGGGCAAATGTAAGCTGATCAGAAAAGGCAGATAATTAAGCAATTTTGGTGACATGATTAATTTTTTTTTGCCGAGATGTGTGCCGGGTGTTTGCGTTTGAAATGACAAAATGATTTCTGTCAGAGACGGACATATGAGAGCTTGAGTTGTTGTTGGCATTGAGCGCTTGATCGATATCTCTTCATATGCATGTGTTTGATAATATGTTCTCGCCTTACAGTTATTAAACACACGACTTTCACAACACTGTCAGCACATCCAAATCTCCTTTAAGCCAGTGCTTCCCAACCTTTTTTTGTCTAAAACCCCCTTTTTCCCAATAAAATAAAGGGCCCACCTTCACATTTAATGATATTATTGCTCTTGTAAGCTTGCAGCAAGGATGACAAAATATGTTTTTTTTTTCAAACAAACAATATGTTTATGCACAAATAATATATTGAAAGTGCAATAGTAATTTAAAAACGTAAGCCTAGGAGAAGCCGTATAGGCTTTATTTGAAATGCAAAATGTAAAAAATGAAAGAATATGGGCTATTACTAAATGACTGCTGTCTGGGGCCTTGATACTTGGAGGTTATTTGTTAGGTTTATCAATGTGAGGCTTTATTTTTTATGTTTTTGGCGCTTTAGCAAGTGATTATTAACAGAATAACGTCTCTTTCGGTAAGAACGGTGTAGCCGGAACTACTTCTCTCTGTGTACGTCTATGACGACGAGTCACGCAGGTACTGGGCTACTCCCGAACCAGTGTAAAATAGTCCCGATGTAAAGACTTATTATAGGTGTACCACAGTGGTTCAGGATAAGACAAAAACACGGATTGATGGATTCATGATGAACTCGCTCATTATATATATTTTGAACAGACTTTTATTTAATGCTCATTGCTCAAACCTTCGAAATATGACGTGACCCTCCCACAGAGCTCGCCGCGACCCCATCTGTTGGGAACCGATGATTTAAGAAACTTGTTTAAAATGTTTAAGCATGTGCTAATATATATTTAGTGATGTTCAAGAGTCAAACCTAATTGTTGGCCTTGGTTAAAATTAGAGCCAGACCGATATTTCGGTCGGCCGATATTAGGCATTTTCCAAAATATCTGTATCGGCAGTCATAATGGCCGATAAATGAATATTTAAAAAATAAAAATAAAAACGGACGAAACACGCTTCAATCATCTCTCCTTGGCCTGTTATATTGAAAATGTATGTTTTACAATTTGCAGTATGATGTTATCTATTGCTCATCATAGACTAGCTAACCACAAAGCTAGCTAATGCCACTATCATCAGTGGAAGACCGCTAACGTTAACATTAATCAGCTTGGAAACCACAATGAACTTTTTCTGCCTAAATAAAGCAATGATTACTGTATTTATAACGAGCATATCTCTAGTTACCTTCAAAATCCTTTATCGGTCGGGCTCTAGTTAAAATACCTTGCTGCCGAACTGGGACCCATGAGGCTGTCTTGTTTTCACTGATGAGGTCATTAAGGTTCTACATGAGGGATTGTGTTAGATGACGTGTGTGTTCTGGCCGTCTGATAAGACCCGTGTGCGTCACTGACGCGAGGAGCATGTGTTCTCTTCATACTGAGGTTAATGAAGAAACTGTCGAATCTCTCGCTCTCTCTGGTGTTTGTTTTCTCTTCTTTTGCTGAGCTGATCAAACTCTGCAGCAGTCGTCACACACTCTCTTTTAGAGGGAAATAAAAGAAAGAAAAGTGGGCCATGGTGACCTATTTTCCTCAGTTCAGGGAGGCCGAGGGTTGCGGTTCTGCAGTCAGATGGGGTGCAGGGGCTGTTGGCAGACGCACACACACAGAAGTGGGTCAACGGCAGGGGCCGTGTCTTGTAAACGGCTTTTTGAACAGTAGAGAAAGCTGCAAATGAAGCACATATCATTATTATGTGGCTGAAAATACAATATGGTCTCAGTTACAGTTTAGAAGCAATGGCTATGCTAACACAACAGCTAAATACAGTTGTCACTAGAGCCCGACTGATAAAGGATTTTGAAGGCAGATACACTCTAAAAAATGCTGGGTTGTTTTAACCCAATTTTGGGTCAAATATGGACAAACCTGAAATGTTGGGTTAAAAATGTAATGTAAAAATTTAACCCAACGGCTGGGTTAGTCCATATTTGACCCAAAGTTGGGTTAAAACAACCCAGCATTTTTTAGAGTGTACCGATACAAATATTTTTGGGATTTAAAATCCGATATTTTTTTTTTATTATTAAATATTGTTGGATTTCACACACGTGTAAAAGAAAAGCTAACTTTTCTGCACAAGATACGTTTGATACTTTTTCTCTATGTCTAAATGTTCACTCCTCGCAAGTATAACTTACATTTTACAATGCAGGGACTGTAACTAGAGATATTTGAGTTATAAATACAGTAATCATTACTTTATTTAGGCAGAAAAAGTTCATTGTGGTTTCCAAGCTCATTAATGTTAACGTTAGCGGTCTTCCACTGATGATAGTGGCATTAGCTAGCTTTATGGTTAGCTAGTCAATGATGAGCCATAATTTAGCAATAGATAACATCATACTGCAAATTGTAAAACATCCATTTTCAATATAACAGGCCAGGGAGAGATGATTGAAG